TGAGAGCGGGCGAGGGAGCACCGAACGAGGAGCCGTAGGTGTACTCATTCATGGACGAGGTGATGTCCATGGGAGACATGGTCTGGGGGACTATAGATAACGCGTGAGAAAGGGAAGATGGAGAGGATGGGAAGAGTCCGACGTACGACCGATGGGTACACTGAGGCCAGTGGGCGAGTTGGACGGGTAGAGGAAGTCGTTCTCCATGTATGCGAACGTGTCGTTGTAGGGATCGAAGGCGTTCTTGGTGTGCTCGTAATCCATGGAGAGCATCTGGGAAGACATGACGAAGACAGAAGGAGGAGGGGAAACTATAAGGGGACTGTGTGGCGTTAGACAAGGGGTCTAGACAAAGGGCGCAGAACAAGGTAAGTACCTGGGGGGGAAACTGCAAGAGAGAAAGAGAACGGGGCGCAGGCGGGGAGGAGAAGAGGGGAATGAGGAGGAGTGGGTGGCAGTTCGCCCTTTATAACCGCAGAACCCGATTGGGGGGTCCGGCGCAAGTGTCCAGATGGACGGAGATGACCAGCACGAGGCAGATCTCTCCCTTTCCGTCCTTCTCGTTTCGTCACAACGTCAGAGACCACAAATGCCCTTGCCCACCAACAAATGCCCACCGCCCAGCTATTCCCCATTCTTCTTGTTCTTTTTCTGCGCCTTTTCGCTCGGATTTCCCTTTGATTTCCCCCACTTTCTCGCCCAATCCTCCCTCGCTCTCCGTCCCAAACTCCACTCCTCCGTCCCGAGAACCCGCAACACGCTACTGTTCCATCCCCGTTTGAGCTTTCTCTATCACCTATCAAGATCCGCGTTGCCGAGGGTCTTCGGTCACTCTGGGACATCTCGGTCTTTCACTTGTACAGTGGGAATCGCAATCACCTCCGTGTGTGACGACGATGCTCACCAGACCAGGCCTGTCACAACTATAATCCTGCTATCCTGCAACGTTTCTTTCATCTTCCTCTTTCGTCCCGAGATAAATCGTCCTTCTCTCCGATCGCGATGCGCAGCATTCTCTTCTTACCTTGTGCCCCCTCAAAATTCTCCCCACATTCATACCATTCACAGCCCACTCCTTCTCTCAATCATCGCCCCAATTCACTCCTTTTCCACAAAAAGGTCGTCAAGCATTGCACAAAAAATCATTAGTATGTCGTAAACGTCGTATCTGGGTCGTAAGTAGCGTCCGAAACAGGGTCAAAAGCAATAAAAAGGCCGCAAGACAAGCCAAAAGAAAACTAATGTCCGTGGAACTCTCATAGCTTATGCATTGTAATATCCTGGAATAAAACAAAGTGTCAGAGTGACCCTGCATATCTGGGGTACAAGGTTTCATTCCTCACCTCCATAGAACGGTCCCTTCATATTCGAGTAGTGTTCCAGCCGTTTGGAGAAACGCCATGTCAAGAAGTACATGTACACCTAGAAGCCCATGAGATCCATCCCGAGGAACAGGTGTGACGCACATACCTGGAAGACGAGGTCGACAAGAAGCGAGATAATGAAGGCGATATTGAGGCTAGAGAATCCCATGGCGCAAAATCCACCTGGCATCGATCCGGTTGTCGATGTCGCAGTAGCCGCCGAGTCGGTCCACAGTTGGCCGCCATTGTTGCATTCCCACAGAATCTTGTCCTTCCTATCGAAACGTTACGAGAAATTTAATATCGGTAAAGGACACAAAAAGTAGAGCACCTACCCCCGTTGGAGCTGGACGATCATGATTATAGCTCGAACAGCGCATATCACAATCAGGAAAGGCCACAGGAAATTGACGACGCGTATCCAAATGTACGATCGCTACACGGAGAGAAGTGGGTCACCGATCAGCTTTGGAGTTCCGGCCATAGAAAGCTCCAAAGTAAGCGAGTACTGACGTTGGAGAGAGCGAACATGCTAATGACCGCAGCCGCACATACTCCGATACCGATGCCACCGTAGATTTGCCTAGGATGAACGGTTAGCGCGGTCGGAAGCGCAGCCCTAATCGTACTCACCATTCAGGGAAAAAGAAGAAGATATATTGACCGCTAATGAGAAGGAAGAGTCCACCGGCGAGACTGTACGCCTATGAGAGTTTGAAGGAGGTGGCGTTGTGAGGGATTATTCCAGAAAGACGTCAGACCATCGGGCCTATTGGCAAGGCAAAGTCGAAGGAGATCCTTACAGCGATCACGACAGCCCAGGCAATAGCACCACCCCTCTGTAAAACACCACCGCAAAAACGGATCAGAAAGCCTTGCTCCGAAGTCCCCAAAGTCGAAACGGAGTCGGAACTCACAAGAGGCAACACGAGCAAGCAGTTGTCACACCTGCGTTCAAAAATAAGAGTAGATAAGCCATGAGTCACTCTTTTTTCCAGGGCTTGGAAGCTGCAAGAAACCGAAACGATAACGCACCACATCGTTCGAGGAACTTGAGTTTGAGTGTTTTTCTAGTTCGTTAATAGGTCCGAGAACGGGCGTAAGAGGTGTCGCAGAGAGAATCGGACGTGCGTGATTAACGAATGTTGGGTATGCTATCGATGTGTCTAGCCAGCAATCGAGGAGGCCGCTGCAGCCTATGTGGTGCGGAGGGAAAGGGACTCGGCGTGACAACTATCTCATCGTTACTCCTGTCGCCCCACTCGCCAGAGCATCATGTGATCGACGTGATACCCTGTCACATCCACACGCGTCTCGACCCATTTTTGGACTCATCGTCCAACTTTTCCAACCCCCACATCGAGCTCGACGCTGGCGATGGCTCCCATGTCCCGCTACACCTGAGGAAGACAATCACCTCGTTGCACGCCGCGGAGGTTCATCCTTTCCTTCTTCGCCGTGATCCTTCTGGGATTTGGAAATGCCTTCCCGAGACCCCACCCAACACCCCTAGTCCACGGTCCCAGACGCGTCCTGCTCTTTGGGATTCCAGCACATAGGGCCAAGCGCGTGCTGTTATGCTGTACTGCACATCTCTCATCTGGGGTTTAGCCTTGGACCGTCCAATCACGCTGCGGTGCGTGTTCAGAAAGTTCCCTTTACTCACCATCATGCTCAATCCATGCGTAATTATAGCCTGCGCTAGTACGATGATTCGGACGAGTGCTATGCCCTATGCTTGTTATTGCGTTCTCGACAGCTTGAAGACCGTTTCAGATCAGTGCAGGAGTCGCAAATAGGTTCGGCCTGACCCTCCTGGTGCACACTCGTATGTGGCTCTTGCCTTTTTCTGTTTCGTCCGTCCCGGTGTTCTGAATTCCATCCTGCTGTCATTCATTTTTGTCCGATTGTGTGTACCTTACTTACCCCTCTCTTGTCAGAAAAGCACTGTGGGTCAAAGGGCTTTCCTCCAGGTTAGACGGGGCTCCTGGCCTGCCATATCCGTCCCCCGGTCCGCACCGTCATGGAATACAGTTTACCCACAGAACTTCATCATTTCACTCCGATTTCATTCAGACGACCCGTCATCGATGGAAAGAACCTCAGCAAGCGTTGGAATAGCCCTTCTAGAGTCCATGCCTCTGCTAACCTTCAAACCCTACTCTCAAGCTGTCCACCTCCGGCTTCGCTCGGATGGATGAACCTATATATCTTCGTGCCAACGTAAAGGTGTGCGAAAAGCCGCCCAACGATGATTACATCTAATCTTGGGCAAGCTTTGAATCAGTGTGACTTCATGATCTCTCATTCAGTTATTATGAGCAGGTTCTGGGCGCTCTTTCATTGCTTATACTCTGGCAGATGGGCACTCAAACGGCCGCCTTACATATCTCGCATCCGTTCGGCGAGATTAAGTTCTGAAAACGTGCCCTCGCCAAGTCACTTCTCTTGTTCCACCAGTCTGGATCGGCTGTACTGCGTCTACTCCGACTTTCGTTTTTCCGATGACGGCACTCCCTATTCCAACGCTTTACCCTTCTAGGTCGACTTCGAGACGCATCATCGCTCAGAGACACTGCTGATCGTCTGATAATGGGATGGGCTCGTCGAGTGGGTTTTATGACGCGGTGCGAAAGCCTTTCTTTCTCCGTCTGGTAGTCATCGGTGGCTATACACCGTGGCGTCGTAGGACCAGGTACCTTGGACGGTTCTGTCCACGCAACCCTTCACAACTCCTCTATTGTCGGAACGCCCGCATGGACTTGCTTCGGGACCTTCCTTGTGGACGTGACCTATGCCGTATTCTCTCGGAAGATACGGCGAGCGGCGCCGTATGCCACCGTCTCGAAAATAACATTTGGCCGACCCCGGACTCAATCTTAACGAAGGCGCTTGCGATTACAAGCTCTGGATCATCAAGTGATCTCCCAAGGCGCCTGGTATGCACCGAGGGTACTGTCAGCTCTTACGTTGATGCGTTCAAGACATCATGATAATAACGCAAGACGGGCACACGAACGGCAGATATTATCTTTGATGACCATGAATTCCTGTCGTCACTTCATCTCTCCGTGTGGACCTTGACACCCTTGGTTAGAGCGCGGTGCCGGCCCTGGCTGGTTAGCGAGAGATTAGATTAATGAATCATCCGGTTGCAGGCGAGGCGAACCCACTGGCCGCCCTGTCCATCGTTCTGAAACAAGCACAACCTCCGACTCCTATGAATCGGGCTACACTGCGGTGAAGCGGTATCACTTCGGTTAGTTGATGGTAAACCGATCCTGGAGGTTATCAAAATATCAAAATAAGCACTTCATGGGCCAGGTCTCGAGTCTGGGGCAGATGATGCTCCTCAGTGCTTAATGAAGCAAGCCTTCTCATTGGTGTGTAATTTCGTCAGCTGTGACGCTGTTCTTGATTCGCTTGATTGCTCTATTTCTGTGCTTCGACACGCATATGTCCACGATATTCCACGAATTCGCATGCAGTGCGAGTTCTTTGGTTATCAGTTACCCCGAAATGAAAAATCAGACGTGGAGGAGCAGAGGTTCTATGGGGAATAGTCAGTCCAATTTCGTCTTGATTCAATCGACTTCCATGGGCAAGCATCAGGCTGCTTATGCAACGAAAGCGAAAGCGGGCCTCAGTGAGCGGACTTCGCCCGATACAATTCAGACGGAAGAAAATCCTTTACACCTTTTGGAAGGTCGATGTCTAGATCTCCAACTCTAATGGATGAATTAGAGGACTTTGTTTTCCGCCACAGACATGAGGCGCCCGATGTCCCTCGTCCGCCTGCCATTCTATGCAATGCAAATGTCAATTGCATGCGTTCCATTGACGGCCATAAAGGGCTTGAACACTTTCCAAC